AAGTGTTGGCACGCGGTACACCTTCGGGCGAGATCCGCACAATCTCGGGCCATCGAAGGGTCCCTGGTGAGCTGAACAAGTGTCGCCGTGCACTTCTTCCATCGCAACTTCGGCTTCATCTTGATGAAGGCACCGAAGTAACGTCCCGTTGTATGATCTTTTGTAAAGCCTTCCGTCTTCGATAGTGTAGCTGGGAGCCCTCAGCTTTGCTAGCTTGGCACGGGCCTCATCCTCGGGCAGTTGCCCTATGGTGATGAAGGCGATAATGTCTGAGATCCAGTCCTCTTGCCTTTTTTGTATGTGCATGATGGGGCTAGCATGTATGCTGGAGAGGCTGAGCTCCTCGATTTTGGCAATCTTTGAGATATGTTCACGGGAGTCGGCCGAGAGCTTCGATAGAATGTCGGCCTCAGAGTTTTGAGCCCTCGGTATCTGAGTGAGGGAGTGTGCCTCAAACACCTTGAGCAATTCTTTAGCCGCCTCCTTGTATTGTTTCATTCTTCCTTCCTTGGCTTCGTACTCCCCAGATATTTGGCCGACGACTAACCTGGAGTCGCACTTGACGTGAATCTGTCGAGCCTTCATGTTAGCTGCCAGCCGAAGTCCACAGAGGAGGGCCTCGTATTCGGCTTCATTGTTGGAGACTTTGAAGGAGAAGCGGACAACGTAATAGGCCCGGAAGCCTTCGGGTGAGACGAGAACCCCTCCTCCTCCACATGCTTTGACAACGGAGGATCCGTCGGTGTAGTGGGTCCACCAATCGTCCGAGGGGGCCGAGGGCTCCTCGTCTGTGGCTGATCTTGCCGTGCACTCCGTCACGAAGTCCGCTAGAGCCTGGCCCTTGATGGCGGGCCTAGGATGGATGTCGATGTTGTATTGGCTCAGGAAGACAGCTCATTTTACCATTCGGGAGGAGCTGGTGGGGCTTCTCATCAAAGCGCTGATGGGTTGGTGAGTGAGGACCTGGACCGGGTGAGCTTGGAAGTAATGGCCCAACTTTTTGACAGTCCACACGATAGCCAACACCGTTTTTTCCACAGGGGAATACCGGAGTTCTGCTTCCCTGAGGGTCTTACTAACATAGAAGATGGCATGTTGGATGTCATCCTCTTCCCGGATGAGTACTGAGCTGATGGCTGCCAGGCTAACACCCATGTAAAGGTATAGGGTCTCCCCCACCTTGGGTTTAGAGAGCACAAGGGGTGAAGATAAGTACCGTTTCAGTTCCTCGAAGGCCCCCTGACACTCTGAAGTCCACTGGAAACCGGCGGTCTTTCTCATGATCTGGAAGAAGGGTAAGGACTTCTCCTCCGATTTTGACAGGAAGCGATTGAGGGCTGCGAGGCGGCCTGTCAACCGTTGGACCTCCTTCACGTTGCGTGGGGGCTCCATGTTGATGATGGACTGGATCTTCTCGGGGTTGGCATCAATACCCCTTCGACTCACCATGTAGCCTAATAATTTGCCCCCTTGTACGCCGAAGGTGCACTTCTTCGGGTTTAGCCGAAGGTTGAACTTCTGCATGATGGCGAAGATTACCCTTAGGTCGTCAGCATGGCTTGCTGATTGCTTGCTTTTGACGATCATGTCGTCAACATATGCCTCCATGGTGCGCCCTAGGACAGCTTGAAAGACCTTGTCCACCATCTGGGTGTAGGTGGCGCCTGAGTTCTTTAGGCCAAAGGCCATGACAAGGTAGCAGAAGATGCCCTCGGGAGTCATGAAGGCTGTTTTTTCAACGTCTTCCTCGTGCATAAAGATCTGATGATACCCGCGGAATGCGTCGAGAAATGACACGATTTCACACCCCGCGGTTTCATCTACAAGTTGATCAATATTCGGGAAGGGAAAGGGGTCCATGAGACACGCCTTGTTGAGAACCGTGTAGTCCACGCACATGCGGAATGAGGGCGGTTTTTGTGCGAGGACTACGTTTGCCAGCCATGAGGGGTATTTTACCTCCTTGATGTGCTTGATAGAGAGGAGCATGGCGACTTCCTTCTTCACAAATTCCCTCCTCTCGGCTGAGAGGGGTCTTCTCCGTTGTTGTACTGGTTTAGCCGAAGGGTCCACTGAGAGGCGGTGGGTGATGACCCTTCGGCTGATCCCCGACATGTCATCCGGCCCCCATGAAAAAACAATGGAGTAGGCGCGGAGGGCGCTGATGATGTCGGTCTTCAAGTTTTCAGGGAGCTGGGCTCCAATCTTCACGACTCTCTCCGGCTTGGCCGGATCGAGCGCAAATTCTTCTACCTCCTCGACTGGTTCAGCCCTCGACCTCCTTTCTTCCTCTTCCACAGTTCCGGTGATGGTGTCAACGCGGAACTCCGTCTTGCTAACCTTTTTCGTCACTTGAAGGTAGCAAGCGCGGGCAAGTTTTTGATTCCCCCGTGAGTAACCGATGCCTCCCTCGGCTGGGAACTTGAGGCAGAGGTGCCTCATGGAGATGACGGCTTCGAGATACTCGAGGGCTGGCCGGCCGAGGATGATGTTGTGGGCGCAGTCGATGTTGACGACGACGAACTCCACTTCGAGCTTGGCTCTATGGAGCCCGTCGCCGAAGAGTACCGGGAGGGTTATGACCCCCTCAGAATCAATGGTGTCGCCGGTGAAGCCGGCAAGAGGGGTCTTGATGGGCCGAAGGGACCCCCTCTCCAGATGCAGCTCTCTGAAGGTGCTGAGGTACATTACATTGACGGAGCTGCCCGTGTCAATGTAAGTTCGGTGAATGATAGTGTCATTGATCTCCGTGCGGATGACGAGGGCATCCCTGTGTGGAGAGGACACCGGGGGGAGATCAGCGTTAGTGAAGGTGATGGGTTCCTCCCTCAGCCGCTTTACCGGGGGCATATGAGTGACTTCCCCCACGTAAAGTGATTGAGCCCACTTCTTTCGTTGACTGGTAGAACCCCCGGTATTGCCCCCAATGATCATGAGGATGTGGCGCTTCTTTTCTTGGTACCGAGGGTACTCTTCCTCCTCTTCTTCCAGGTTCCCAATCTCCCTCTTCTTGCCGAGGGGGATGGTGTTGGGGTTGACCCGTGCGTTTGCTCTCGCAGGGTGCCCTCGAGGTGGCCCTTGGTAAGGGGGGCCCTGTTGTTGAGGGCCTTGGACAAATTGGGACAAATGGCCCGCCTGTATCAACCTTTTGATGGTCGTCTTCAGCTGATGGCAGTCATCGGTTTTGTGCCCCTGATGCCGGTGGAAGCAACAGTATGGGTAGTTTGGATTGATGGCATATACCTCCGGGGGTGCGCGAGAATCTCGCTCCACCAGGCCCCTCTCCTCAGCGAAGTCAAAGATGACGCTGACGGGGTGCGTCAAAGGTGTCCGAGGGTGCTCCAGGAGAATAGACTGTGCCCAAGCCCTGTTAGAGGCTTCGGGGACATCGACTTCGCCGAGGGCCAGGTTCCTGTCCTCAACGTTCTTGGAGTTGGCACGAGTTGTTCTCACCATTTTCGCTAGGTGTTTTGTGTTTGGCGAGGGGGAGGATTTCTTACTTGATTATTCGACCTCTCAACGAGAGCACCAAATGATGGATGGTGTATCCGGGGGGTAGCTTATCCGAGGGGTTATTGCGGAGAATAACTAGAGAGAAGTCAGAGCATAAGTAAGAGAGAGAGGGTATACTGCTGAGAAAGTAGTGAGCGTATTTAGCTTGGGTTACAAATGGGGAAAGGGGTGCTATTTACAGCAATAATAAATGCCAGTTAGGGGCACGTGTCATCATTCTGGTGGTCGAGGGGTCACCTCAACGGGGTGGCGCTGACATTCGCATGTGGCCGCATTAAATGCGGCTGTTGGATGTGACGTCGTACTTGGTACGGTGATTCAGGCGCATGTGGAGAAGATATTATGTAGAGAAAGGTGCCCTCGGCTGCAGATGATTAGCCGAGGGCTCTGAGTACCGGGGACTTCCTTAGTGCCGAGGGCTTTAGGTGCCGAGGGCAACTGATTTTCGCCGTTTTCTCCCAGTAACGTTGTTTGCTTGAGGTGGCCATCCTGTGAGAATTTGGAGCCTTCGGCCAGGGGGGCGAAGGCACCCCCAGTGTGCCACGTGGGTGGCTTAGTACTTGGGGCACTGTGATTTGGGCCTGCTGTGCTTCCTGGGCCTATTGGGCCTCCCTTAGAATAGTAGGAGTCTATGGGCCGGAGGTTCCTGGACCATATACTCCATCACGAACCGTACCAAACCGAATTAAACTGAACCGATACCGAACCATTTGTAATTTGGTTTGAGTTTGGTAGTATTCTTCCCAACCCGTATTAAACCGAATCAAACCGAACCGAAATCATAAAACCGAATAGAACCGAATAAAACCGAACTAATCTAAAAATGAAATAATTTCTTATTTTTTTAAAATAACAAATCAAAACCAACTTACACCAAACTAAACCAAACCAAAATATAAGATTTTTCTCATTAATTTGATTGATGTTAATGTTTTTGAAGCTTTAATTCTTTAATTTCAGTGTCCAGGACTAGAGTTTACTACAAGAGTTACATTCACAACTATAACAACTATAATGGTTTAAGTAGATAATATTTAACTATAATTTACGGAGTATTATCTACTACTACTATATATTTGGTTCATTACTTACAAGCACCCGTTTTGTTTTTGTTTCGGCTTTATACATAATTTGATTCATTCCCGTTGTTGTTGTCGCTTACAAATGTTTCATGCTTATATATTTTTGGTTCATATGTGTTTTGTTACTGTTTGCAAATTTATATGTAACATTATATTTGATTCATTACTATCGTTTCTTAGTTTGGTACTTTTGTTACTGTTTTCTTATTTTTTTTTTATTTCAATCCAAACCTTAATACTTTGGTAAACCAAATTCCAATCCGAACCGAACCATACCAAACCGAAACCAAACCGAAACTTAATCGATTTGTATTTGATACATTTTCTATCAAATCGATTAAACCGAAACCGAACCGAAACCGAATAAAAAAGAAAACCAAAAGGCCCACCCCTAAACTAAACTCATCCCGCTCCACCCTATTAAACCTAACCCACACAGAGACGTTGAAGCCAAGTTAATTTTTCTCTAGCAATGGCGGCTCCAAGTCTTTTATCTCAAACCTTAATTGTCAACTCCTCAAAATCCCCTACTCAGTATAGTTTCTTTTCAAATCCCGTTTTACACTTCAAGCTCAACTCTTCTCCAAGAATCTCCACTATAAGCATTAAGGCAGTGCTTTCCGTTCCAGTGCCAAAAGCCCAGAAATTTCAGCACTGTTTTACAAAACCTGAAGATGGGTTTTTGTACTGTGAGGGAAATAAGGTTGAGGACATTATGAAGGTTGTGGAAAAGAGGCCTTTTTATCTATACAGCAAGCCCCAGATTACTAGAAATGTTGAGGCATATATAGAGGCTTTGGAGGGTCTGAATTCAATTATTGGGTATGCTATTAAGGCTAATAACAATTTAAAGGTTTTGGAGCATTTGAGGAAGTTGGGATGTGGGGCAGTTTTAGTTAGCGGGAATGAACTCAAATTGGCTCTCCATGCTGGTTTTGATCCTACAAGGTATTGGAATTATGCTTTTATTTTTTTAGTTGATAAATGTAGTCGCTAACAGTTTGAGGCTTGACAAGTCAATGTAATCGTGCTCATAACAGTTTAGTTGGGTCATAAACTATCTTTCATGGTTTTGCCTTGATGCATTTTTCGTTTGATAGATTTGAAGTATTCTCATTTTGCCTGTGTGATAAATTTTTAGTCTTTCCATCTGATATATGATTACTTTAGCTTGTTGGACCCATTAATATGACACGCCTGGTTAAAAGAATATACTGTTTTTGCAGATGCAGCCAGCTGTGATTTCTTTTGCTGATAATTTAACCTTTTTCAATTTCTCTGTTCCTGATTAGTTGAGATTTTAAGTTGATAATATTAGTTTTAAAAAATTGTCTATTTGAAAGCATCTAGGGAGTACAAAATCAAGATCATACCTTTTACTTCTACACTATTCATGGCACAGCTAGTTATTGCTTATAAAATGTACATTTATGCCGTGAATAATTGAGTACTGTTATATTTTCTTATGATTTAATATGGAAATATATAAAGTTTAGACAAATGATTCATGAAAAGAGAGCAACTTATATGGTTGGGTATTCGACAATTCCTCTCTGCATAAGCCTAACAAAAAATCATGTAAAAAGTTAATAGGATACAATCGTACAATAATGAAAACTAATTTCAGGATGCCATTCTAAACATGATGCTATTTCTGGTTTCTTATTCCATGTTGTCTTTAGGATTGATGCGTTAATTACTATTTTTCTGAATATAAATATTTTCTTGCAAGATGTGTTTTTAACGGAAATGGAAAAATATTGGAGGATCTTGTTCTAGCTGCCCAAGAAGGTGTTTTTGTAAACATTGATAGCGAATTTGATCTGGAAAACATTGTAAGCGCGGCAAGAATTGCCGGAAAGAGAGTTAATGTGTTGCTTCGGATAAACCCAGATGTTGATCCTCAGGTATTAAGAGTGGTTTAGTATGAAGATCAGGATAATGTTTTTACATTAACAGGTGAAATTAATGTTTCATTTCTGTATTTATAAGAGATTGAGCATCATAGTCTATGTGGTTTGATGCGGTCAAGCTGTGGCATATCTTATTTGCACTCATCCTTTTGGCTATATGAAACATCTAAACTGCTTCCTGGTTTATCAAATGCTTCCTCTGTCCCTAAATAATCCATACACTCTCTTTTGGTTTGTCCCAAAATCATGTCTCGTTTCCTTTTAAGTAAAGCATAATTTGGTTCATATGATTTCTCTGTCCTCAAATAAATTTAAACCACACTTTTCTTTTTCTTAATCTTTGTCCCCCGTCAAATTGTATGTTTATTTAGTGAGGGAGGAAGTAGTTTATTTCCTGCATATCTAAAAAGTCAAGTGCCATAGTAAAAGATAACGAGCCTATTGCATTAGAAGTGTATGTTGGAATTGTTTGGTACAAATGTACAATATTTGACTTTGTTGTCATCTGATTTTTTTTCTGTTGTATGAAAGGAAAGATAATAGAAGTGCTTGATAACTTTGATTCACAACACAAGATATCACAATGTTTTACGTTGCAGACATATATATTTTCTACTATAGTAATATCTAAGTAAGATGAGAGTATATTGCTTCAATGTTTTGTAGGTACTCACCACTCTAAAGCTAGCCAAGAAGAATTTTTCGTCCTATTTAGTTTAGCTGAGATTCCTTTTTATCCTTTATTGTTGCAGAAAGAAAACAAATATTTCTCAAATTTGATGACCACCATCAGTAAAAAGTTATATTTTTAAAGACTGATGCAACATCTTAGAATGCAAGCAATAACTCAAATCACCTTTTTGCAAAAAGCTAAAATATGTGCCAATTTGATAATCGCCGTACATGAAGTAGGTCCATCCATATGTTGCCACTGGAAACAAGAACTCAAAGTTTGGCATCCGAAATGAGAAGCTTCAGTGGTTTCTGGATGCGGTGAAGGCACATCCAACTGAATTAAAACTCATCGGTGCCCATTGCCATCTCGGGTCTACCATTACAAAGGTACCCCCAATTATCTTCTAAAAGTTCAAAGGTCATCATCTTGTAGCTCTTGTGCTTGAAATGATTCTGAAGTACCACTTTATGAATTCAAATTTTTCGTGTCTAGATTGTAACTTCTGAAGATTGATTTCTGGTGGATGTTGTAGGTCTATGCCTGATAGGAACCCATTAGTATAATATAATACTATCAATAATAGAAGTATATTAAATAATTGTGATTGTGTATTAAAGGGTCCTGGGCCAGGTACTAGTTAGTTTTGGGCTGGCCCATAAGTAAGTATAAATAGAAGGGAGGGAGAAATAAGAAGGCAGACAGAATTTGGATCTGGAAGAAGGCCTTGGGAGTGTTGAGACGACTCGAACTGTCTCGATCTGTTTTCTTCTCTTTCTTTCTGCTGCAGCCATTGTTATCCGGTTAAGGTCCTGAAAACTTTATCAATAAAATACTAATTTCTACTACTTGCTGGAGGGTTTTAACAATGCCCTATGAAAAAATTTGGGAAAATTCATGAAATAGAAGTAAAAACGTTTGAAAATTCTAAAATAGGACTACCATGTTTTTATTCCCTAAATAAGAGTAATTATTGCCAAACTTGGAAAACACTGTCAAGTTTAAAGTCTGGTACTGCCAAAACATGGGAATAATAATTCCTACTTAGGGAATAAAAACATAATAGACCTATTTTGGAATACATAAACTTTTTTAGTCATTTAGGGCAATCCCCCCCAAATTCAAAATATCATATAAATTCACATTATGAAGCAAGCAAAGTTTGTGCCCTTCTACATTATGGTGTTATTAAGCTGTTATAGAAACTTAAATAAAAATGAACCTATAACTTGAAAATAAGGACCATCATGAATTCTGTTTTTCTGATGCGTGTACACTGTTATTTAACTGCCAGGGGAATAGAAATTTTCTCATTTTCTCATGTAATATGTGAGCAACTCCATTTTGAGCTTTCAACTCTTATAAATCATTGGTTATTTGTATTTCTGTTTGTCTTAATGTAATAATAATACTGTTGGGTGGCAAGAAATCAAATAGTTGATTATTACTCCAGGTAGACATTTTCAGAGATGCTGCAGCCTTAATGGTAAACTACATTGATCAAATCCGTGCCCAAGGATTTGAAATTCATTATTTGAACATTGGAGGTGGACTTGGAATTGATTACTATCATACTGGAGCTCTACTTCCCACTCCTAGGGATCTTATCGATACTGTAAGTGCTGTAAATGTAATTATTTGGAGTTTCTTGTGTCCTGGCATGTCAAAGTTAGCTATTTTGTTGAGTTCCCACAGATACGGCCCCATTATTATATATATATTAACAATAATATGAGTATCAGTATTGGTCTCCTACAACAATAACAACAACAACATTATTATTAAGACTAGTTCCCTATTAGTATTACTATCTGATGCGTGTACACTGTTATTTAACTGCCAGGGGAATAGAAATTTTCTCATTTTCCCATGTAATATGTCTCGAACTGTCTCGATCTGTTTTCTTCTCTTTCTTTCTGCTGCAGCCATTGTTATCCGGTTAAGGTCCTGAAAACTTTATCTATAAAATACTAATTTCTACTACTTGCTGGAGGGTTTTAACAATGCCCTATGAATTTTTTTGGGAAAATTCATGAAATAGAAGTAAAAACGTTTGAAAATTCTAAAACAGGACTACCATGTTTTTATTCCCTAAATAAGAGTAATTATTGCCAAACTTGGAAAACACTGTCAAGTTTAAAGTCTGGTACTGCCAAAACATGGGAATAATAACTCCTACTTAGGGAATAAAAACATAATAGACCTATTTTGAAATACATAAACTTTTTTAGTCATTTAGGGCAATCCCCCCCAAATTCAAAATATCATATAAATTCACATTATGAAGCAAGCAAAGTTTGTGCCCTTCTACATTATGGTGTTATTAAGCTGTTATAGAAACTTAAATAAAAATGAACCTATAACTTGAAAATAAGGACCATCATGAATTCTGTATTACTATCTGATGCGTGTACACTGTTATTTAACTGCCAGGGGAATAGAAATTTTCTCATTTTCCCATGTAATAGATTTAATGTGCATTTTAAATTTTGGATGTAAAATAGATTCATTAATGTGCATAAATTCTCATTTTCTCATTTTCCCATGTAATATAACTTAAATTCTCAGCTTTAATTCATCTTATTCTCTTAGTTGTGCTCGTGACTCCTTCCTAATGAAATTATTTACTCGATTACATTTTTGTCTTACTTGAAACATCTAAACCCCCTTTCGAAATATCCATTATGAGATAGCAAAAAGACTTCAAGGGTGTTTTCTAGAATTTATAATTGAAGATAAATAAGTGATGGAGATTTAATGTGCATTTAAAATTTGCAGTTTTCATTATTGTTTGAAATAACTCAAATAAGTGGTAACTTAATTTATAATAATACCTCTTTCTTGACAATCTTTGCTATCTTTGAGTTATGATGGATGCCACATGGTTTGTTATTTTCAGTTTAGGATGGTTTGCTATTAAAGCTAGTTCCTCCCTGATACTATCTATTAAAACCAATTCTTCCCTGACACTATTTAAGTTACCATTAAAATAATTTTTATATATTTGGAATAGTACAACAACAACAACATCCAAGCCTTAATGCCAAAAGAATTTGGGGTCGGCTAACATGAATGTCGATCCATAATATCAGTGCTAAAAAGATATTTGGAATAGTAATTGCCCTAAATAGGACTAAATGGAAACTTAATTGCACAAATAGGACTAAAACCTAAATCATTCACAAATACGACTAAACATTAATTTTCTACCCTAAATACCTCTAATCTAATTAATTAATTGCCCCCTAGTTCCCTTGGGAAACCAGGGCACTCCGTTGGTGGAGGCAGAAGAGCTCCGACGGCGGTCTGAATCTGGCCGGCAGCCGGAGTCCGCGGTGGCAGGTGGCAGGTGGTGCATGTGGTAGCTGGGGCATTTTTGTCCGATCACAAAAAGTCCTATGTTGGCAATTTTAAAACTACTACTCCTATTTGTGATTTTTGGCCTTCTTTTAGTCCTATTTAGCTAATTAACTCTATTTGGAAACTGCACCAAAAGTTTTACTTAAACGCAAAAGCTGAATTCAAAATTGATAAAAAATTGATACTCAAAACCAAAGAACAAAAAGAAATTATGTTGATGACATGAGTAGTGGAGTTCACTGTTGATTGGAATGGAGAAAGTACATTTGAATTTTTGGATATTTTAATCAAATGAGATTGTTCTCTTTCTTAAGTCACCTGTGTAGGTTTTTGTCTCATAATAAAAAGAAAATAAAAATAATCAACTGAAAATGACTTCATGCCGTCTCATTATTAGTTGGCTCCTCTGGTTATTGTCTCACACTATATTTTTGTTTCTTTCATTTTCTTTGGGTCCAAAGTTTTTGTCAAACTGGATGTTAAGAATACATTCATCTTGTATTGTAAAAGTGAAATTGATGGGACAAGTCCATGTACAATTTTGTAGGTAAGAGAATTGGTTCTTTCAAGAGATCTCAATCTCATAATTGAACCTGGAAGATCGCTTATTGCAAATACTTGTTGCTTCATCAATCGTGTCACTGGAGTTAAGACAAATGGGTCAAAAAATTTTATTGTTATTGATGGAAGCATGGCAGAACTTATTCGCCCAAGTTTATACGGAGCTTATCAGGTAACTTTACCCACTATAACGTACTAGCCTGCTACTTGCTATCATCTCTCTCTGTAGCTTCTCATCACCGACCATCTCTTAAAGTTCCCGGGATCTCTCTGTTTGAAGTTGTAATCAAATATCTAGTGTCTGACCAGCAGTTGGAATAAACCAGTTATTTATTTATATTTTCTACCTTTTCCCCCAAAAGGCAAAACCACAAAAAATGTGGGGTAAATGTTGAGAGTCATTTACCTAATTTTATTAGACAGAAAAGAGTGCATGAAAGAAAATGCAATGAAAGTACAACAATTAAGGAGCTCAACAATTTAGAGAGTATCATGAATGTTTCTGTCCAGCAAGCTTGGTTTGAAGACACGTTTGAATATTATTCGTTGTTGCCTCAGTTCGTCTTTTGGATTTTTTGGAAGTGACTAAGGTGAAACCGTCATCCTCTATAGGTGTTGTTGGAGAAGCTTTAGTGTCTAAGTCACTCTAAGTATTTAGTTTTGCCATTGATTTCTTTTTGAGCTTTTGATCAAAGTCTTTTTTGATGTCTAAAAGTCCTGCTTTAAGATCTGCGAGGAGTGCGTGATACTCTCCCTTTTGAGTTTGCAATAGGAGCCTCATAGAAAACATCATAAGCACTTGCAAATTCCTTTTGCCCGATACTACTTTGTTCTCGTTGTTTGACACTCTGAGAGGCCTCCAGTTGAGTAAATAGCTTAATGTCATTTTGAAAGAGAAGGCTTCCCACTATAGATATTTCATTTTCATTAGAGTTTTGCCCGAGTGATGTATATAAATCCCTATCTAATGCCAACATTTCTACATTTTGTTGAATCACTTTCATCTAGATCCGTTCATATTTAATCATCAGATTAATGGCTCTTGAGATACCTGTCAAAAAACCTCTAATTCCAGATCCATTTCGACCATCAGGTATAAAGATAGAGCCATCTTCTTTTTCAATGATACGATAAAAGACGCCGAAAAAATTGACATCAAATAATATGATGATAATCGATTTTCCTAATTCCAACCTATTGTGAGACCATTTGTCAGCTATCAACTTAGTGATGCCATCCCTTAAGAAGATAAATTTGGCTAGATCAAAATCAACGGTAGAGTAATATCCATGCATAAATTCAGAAATTGTACCTAATTAAGAGAATATCTTTCAGTGCAAAAGTTTCACAAGAAATAATTGATTCATTATCACTATTAGGCTCCATTTACAATTCACTTTTACATTACGGCTAAACCTATTGCCCTGTTGCATAAATAGATACGAGTTGTGATTTTTTTTTTGAATGAACAAAGAGTTGTGGATATTTGTGTGTTAAAATGGGCCGCACACAATGTGTTGACTTGATCAATATAATTTATTTATTTATTTTTCAAATAAATAGATTGTGAAACCCATTGATAGAGAGCAGGAAGAGCATGGAGCGGGAACGGGCTTGGGCCTACTTCCGTGGGCCTGTTATGGGTTGAGATTATAGTTTTATTTATTATTATAAAGTTTATGTTATGTTTTTAGTTTGGGCTATTATTAATAGAGTCTTCAGTAGAGTTAATATGGGCCTCATGAGGATTTGCTTAATTTGGGCTCGATTAAGGTTTCTCTTGAGTCTGTTATTAGAAAGTTATTTAAACCCCTTGTAGGATTCATTTTTCATTATCTTGGAATAAAGTTGAATTTCAGCCTTTTGGTCATGGGCAACAATTTCTATCGTTGATTATCTAGCAACGGTTTACTCTGTTGATTTTATTTTTTGTTTTCAACAATTGGTCCGACCTGCCGGATCCTGTTCCGCCGGAATGACGAGATCTCCGAACGATCGCTTGACAGAGATGGAGGCCGAACAAACAAGGATGGCGACTGAGCAAACAAGGATGAATCAAACCCTGGAAGAACACGGCATGAGGCTGGCCGAGATCGCCGCATCCCTGGCGGCGCTATCCAAGGCTCTTGTGTCGCTGGTCACGACAGAAGTAACCTTAGACGCAGTCGGCAGCGTCGCAAGCGTCGCACTAACACTCCAACGTTGTTGCCCTCTTTCGACGGAGAAGACCCGATTGTGTGGATAGCTCGGGTTGAACAACAATTCGATCTGAACGGAACTTTACCGGAGAAAAAAGTGTCAGCCGCTGTGGTTGCCATGGAGGGGAAGGGCTCTCTATTGGGTAACCTGGTTGAAAGCGCGCCAACCTGGCCTGCCCTGGGAAGGATTCAAGCAAGCTTTGGTGGCCAGATTCAACTCTCGATTTAAAGGGAACATGTTTGAACCGCTGTCCGGCGTCAAACAGATTGGATCAGTGGAGGACTACAATACCCTGTTTGTTCAGTTGGCCAGCGAAGTTCCATAATTGTTTGATGAACATTATTTGGGATACTACATGAAAGGACTGAAAGAATCAATCCGAAGCTCGTTGCGCTTATTTCGACCTAATAACTTGGAAGAGGCCATGGAATTAGCTCGCGATGTGGAGTACAATCTGTCTATTCAGAGTGGAGGAAGAGGCAGTTCAAATTATAATCCTACAGGGACACATTCCAGTAGCTTTTCACTGCCAAACATGGGTCCTCCGTTGACTGCCATTGATGGCAGCATACAAGAATCAAATGGCAGCTTTCCAAAAGATAGTGGGCAGCCCCCGGGGACAAAGTCAGGGTTGTCCGGACAGTCTACTGCATGCTCTCAGTTCACTCGACTTCCGCCAAAAGAGTTGGCAGAATTATGGGCGAAAGAATTATGCTTTAGGTGTTAGAAATCATTTACACGAGAACATGACTGTCCTTTTAAGCGGTTGCAAGTAATGATAGCTGAGAAGGACGAGGAGTTGGACTTTCAACAACATGAGTATTGTGAAATAACTAGCCATGAAAAGGTCCAGAAAGGCCAGGGGGTCCGGAAGGAGATGAAAGATATTTTCCAATCTATTCTATGGCTGAAAATTTCAGCCCTTGATCTGCGAGATTTTAACCTTGAGGACAACGTTATTTTGAAGGAGGATGGATTGATAGAGAGCAGGAAGAGCATGAGGCGGGAACGGACTTGGGCCCACTTCCGTAGGCCGGTTAAGGGCTGGGATTATAGTTTTATTTATTATCATAAAGTTTACAACAACAATATCAAAACCTTAATCCCAAAAGAATTTGAGGTCGGCTAACATGAATCGATCAATGATATCGATGCCAAACAGAGAAGACGGACAAGAAAGGGAAGAAAAAAAGTAAGATAAAACGAATAAAATAAAGATAAATAAATATAAAATAACAATAACACAGGAATATAAGAAAGATAAAAGATAAAAAAAGAGCATACAAAGCTAGAATATAAAAATAACATAAAGTTTATGTTATGTTTTTAGTTTGGGCCTATTATTATTAGATTATTCAGTAGAGTTAGTGTGTGCTTAATTAGGATTTAATTAATTTGGGCTCGATTAGGGTTTCTGTTGAGTCTCTTACTAGAAGGCTATTTATACCCCTTGCCAGGGTTCATACTTGCTTTGGATTTCTATTCTATGGCTGGAAATTTCAGCCCTCGTTCTGCCAGATTTTAACCTTAAGGACAAGGTTATTTTGAAGGAGGATGAATTAGGGATGAACTCGGGTTGGGTTAACTGAACCTGAACCGGCACTGTTCCGGCCCGACACTGTAGAGGGCCTGTTCACGGGCTTTGATTTTGATGAACCGACCCGGCCGGTTCTGGCCCGGTTCGGGCCATTTTGTTGTTGTTTTTCACATTTTTTAAAGGAAAATGGGTTGGGCTTGGTGTTTTGGAGGGGTTTGGGGTGTGGGGGAGGGGTAAGGGGTAGGAAGTAATTAGAAAAAAAAATGGTGAACCGGCCCGGCCCGGCCCGTGAACCGCTGGGTGAACCGACCCGACCCGGGCCCGGAGAACCCCGGACCAGTTTCCGGGCCTAACTTTTGCAAAAAAAGCCCGGTCCGAACTGAACCGAGGCCCGACCCGGCCCGAATCGAGTCCATGCCTAGGATTAATCATAGAGAGCAGGAAGAGCATGGGGCGGGAACGGGCTTGGGCCCACTTCCGTGGGCTGGTTATGGGCTGGGTTTATAGGTTTATTTATTATCATAAAGTTTATGTTATGTTTTTAGTTTGGACCTATTATTAGCATGGTTTGCAATTGCGCAATGCCTTAGCGCCGTGAGGCGCACCTCAGATTTTTCTACGGTCATAGCGTAAAATTGCATTGCATATTGCGTTCAGGCTTGAAGCGTACGCTTTTTGGGTTAGTGCGTACGCAATATAGCGTGCGCAATGAGGCGCAGGTATGGCGTACGTTTTATTTTTGATTGGTTAATTTTTTAGTTGGCCCACCGGGCCCAGTTTTAGTAAAGTAGATAGACCGACATAAGGTACAGGGTATTAGTAATTTAGTATATATATTATATACGCTGATTCCAAAATAACAGCGCAATTCTGACGACAATTCCTACGCAATAATCTTTTAAGCCAATTAGCCAATAACCAGTTCTTTCCAGTTTCCACCGCCTGCTTTCCTCTTGGACAGTTCTACGGTACTGCTTCTCTCTTATTCATTCTTGTTTCTAATTTCTTTTGTGTTTTTCCCCGCTCGTTGATTTTCTGATTATTATTACTTCATGTTTTATGCTTATTGTTTCTGATTATTGTGTTTTATGCTTGTTAATTTTCTGCTTATTAATACTTCATGTTAATTCCCAGCTTGTTTATGTTATTTTTGCGTATTCGTTTTTGTATATACTGCTTCTGCGTTTGATGCTTAAATTTTGTTTCCATTGATTTTAATACCAAATATTAATGTTAATTTTCTGCCTATTAATATTTTGTGAATATCATTCCATTAAGTTTCAACTTATCAATATGTTTTTTCTGTTATAATATTTAATGATAACTTCAACTTTGATAGTTTGATGTAATATTAATATTAAATTTTCAGTTTAGTTTAATGTTAAATATTACTGTTAATTTAGCAGCAGTTAAGTTTCTGCATATTAGTATATTCTTTTTGTTTTCATTTTTGTTTTCATATTTGATGTTAACTTCACCTTTCAGTCATTATTAAAATTAGTAATTAGTGTTCTACAGTTTTACTTAATTTAAAAGTAAGGGAGAAGGACCAAAAAGGACACCAAGGTTTTTAATGAATCTCGGATATGACACTAAGGTTTAAGATGGACCAAAAAAACACAAATTGAAACCTTTCCCTAAACTTTTAACCACCCATTAACTCTTCCGTTAAACTACCGTTTCCCCAATTCCCCCCTAACAACACTGAGCATAAGAAGACCCTCTCTTCAACCTAGATTGAAGAGTCTTCCTTGGCCGATGGGTGTTGGTTATTGAGCTGCTCCCCTGATTGAGGCCTGGGCCTTGCTTGGCCGATGGTTTTTTTTGTTTGGTCGAATTGAAGCCACCTGCTCGAGGATGACAGACCCGTTTGGACGAGGTGAGGTGTTTGCTGAACTTAGGACGGCGTCTGAAAGCAACTGAAAGATTGAAGAGTCTTCCTTGCTTGGCCAATGGGTTTTTTTGTTTGGCCCAATTGAAGCCACCTGCTCGAGGATGACAGATCCGTTTGGCCGAGGTGAGGTGATTGAGGCGTCATGAACCTTACAAAGGACTGTTGGATGAGGGTCCCACCAGCTTTTTCCTTCTTTTGTTGAAGTTTGACCGAGGGACAACCAGAGGCAGGGCCCTTTGCCGAGTTTTTCCTTCGTTGTTGCAGGCTTCACATTGGACGCGGGTGTCTTTCGCGGAAGCAGGGCCCTTCGCCGAGTTAGATATAATTTGGGGGTCTTCTTATGCGAAGTGTTATGGAAACGGCCGTTTAAGAGGAGAGTTAATGGGTGGTTAAAAGTGAAGGGAAAGTTTTAATTTGTGTTTTTTTGGTCCACCTTAGACCTCAGTGTCATATCCGAGATTCATTAAAAACCTCGATGTCCTTTTTGGCCCTTCTCCCTAAAAGTAAATAGTAATGCTAATTTTCTATTAAATTAGTTTTCTGTTAGACTGTTAGTATTCAATTGTTCAAGTTTACATCATATATAGGGTATATATATATTATGCTAATATATCATTCTTGTTATTTTCTTTCGCCATAGATAGCTTTTTTGGTGTGGTACAATCATGACTAAAACGAATAAAAATGACCAAGCGTGGAAACATGGTGACGAAATTCAACGAGAAGGGTTAAAGGGCAAATCTTATAAATATGTAAAATGTAAATATTGCCTTAAAGAGACCACAGGAGGGGTAACCAGATTCAAGCATCATCTCGCCTGCACAAAACAAAATGTAAGCGGGTGCCCGTCAGTTCCAGAAGACATAAAAAAATACATGCTAGGCCTTTTGAAGTTGGGGGAGAAAACACAGACAGTTCGGGACAAAGATCGGGAAGAGGTTATCAATAGTGGTTCATACTATCACAGTGTGAACCCCTGTGGCGTGGATTCAAATGAAGGTAGCAATAGCCAACGAGGAGTCCGGGGCCCTATTGATAGATATGTCATCGATGTCGAAGGTGATAATAAGCAAACTCCTGTATGCGAAAAAGAAGCAAGAGAAAAGTGTTGCTTGGATGTTGGGAGATTTTTTTTCGAGAATGGTATTCCATTTAATGTTGCCAATTCACCTTCATTTATCAACATGTGCCGTGCAATCGGTAATTATGGACGGGGTTTCAGGCCACCTTCAGCTTACGAGCTTAGCCATTGGATTCTAGATGAGGAAGTGAAGACAACCGAGAAACTTGTTGAGGAGGTGAAGTCGACATGGACACAAACAGGAGTGTCTATATTATCCGATGGGTGGAAGGATATGCGTGGAAGACAGTTGATTAACTTTCTCGTCAATAATCCTTATGGAACAGTATTTTTGAAATCAGTTGATGCCTCAGCTCATGTCAAAGATGCAAAGATGTTGTGCAAGCTTCTGGATGGTGTCGTGGAAGAAGTAGGGGAAGATATTGTTACTCAAGTCGTAACTGATAACGCCTCCAACTATAAAGCAGCTGGCAAATTGTTAATGGCGAAGCGACAACGTCTTTGGTGGACACCTTGTGCGGCTCATTGTATTGATTTGATACTTGAGAAAATTGGAGAGTTCCCACAACACAAGAATGCACTAGCAAAGGCCAAGGCCGTAAGTAAATAATATAAAATTTAATCATCATTTAAAATTTCAAATTTAAGTTAATTATTAAAATAAAAGTAGGACTCGTGTCAATTCAATTGTATTAATATATTATTTTGTTATAGGTCATTCATTATATATACAATCACGGATGGGCACTGGCTTTGATGCGACAAATGTTAAAAAGAGATCTTGTTCGTCCAGCTGCCACACGATTTGCTACCGCATACCTTACGTTGCAAAGCATGCATAATTCAAAAGATGAATTGGAAGAAATGTTTGTTTCTAAGGAATGGTCATCTCATCACATGTCTAAAACCGCAGAAGCAAAGAAGGTGAAACAAATTGTGTTGAGGGACAAATTTTTTTGGCCAAGCGTGGTGTATGCAATCAAAACAACAAAGCCTTTGTTTACTGTGTTGAGGATGGCAGACTCGGAAAAGGTCCCTGGTATGGGGTTTTTATATGGTTCTATGGATCATGCAAAAGAAGAGAGCTAAAAACTTGGGCGGGGATGTGGCTGCATATAAAGAGATTTGGAGCATTATCGATGAGAAGTGGGAATTTCAGATGCATCGTGATTTGCATGCAGCAACTTATTATCTTAACCCTCGTTACCAATATGATCCCAATATGTCCAATCATCCAGAGATTAAACTTGGTTTGTTTAATTGTGTGGCAAAAATGTTTCCTGATCGAGAAGTTCAGGAGAAGATACATTTGCAGATGGATGATTATCGTTTGAAAAGGGGATTCTTCGGCCATGATGTAGCGAAAAGCACAGTTGATAAACGTAGTCCTGGTATGAAAAGTTTATTAATATTTTTTACTTTAATTTTTTATTACAAATTAATAATAATTTTAATTATGTTACTCTAGTGGACTGGTGGTGTCAATATGGGGATCAAACACCTGAATTAATGGCTTTTGTTGTGAGGGTGTTGAGTCTTACGTGTTCGTCATCTGCCTGTGAGCGCAATTGGAGCACGTTTAATCAGGTATTAAATCATTGTATAAATAGTTATTATAAAATATCAGTTAACTAAGTAAATAATAAAGTTTAACTAATATGCTTGTAGATACATACCAAGAGAAGGAACCGTTTGCATACGCATAATTTGAACAAGTTGGTGTTTGTGATGTATAACAAGAGACTAAAGACAAAGTGGATGAGAAAAACATCACTTAAAGAAGACATTGATCCTTTAGTGATGGATGAGATTCCATCAGATGATGAATGGGTTATTGATGAAGATGAGACAAATCCTGATGTTGCTCGTGATGATGATTGTGATGGTGAAGCTAGTGTTGGACGTTCTTCAAGTCAAGAACTTGTTCGTAGCAGTGGAAAGGGCTGCGAGCAAGGACGGTTGAGAGGAAATAGTCAAGGTCAAAAAAGAAAGCGACTTGATAAAGGACAAGGAAAATTGCATTTGATCGATGAAGATGAAGAATTGTATGGTGATGATACTGATTTTGATTTTGACCTTGATGAGGATGAGGATGAAGGAAACGTTGGTGGTTATGATCCTTATTTCAGACCACTAGATAATGATGATTTGATTTTTCAATCATCAATCTAATATGTTTAGGATTATTTTACGATGTTTCAGAATTTTTTGCTATTATTCAGGATTCTTTTTCCTAAGATTGTTACAACATTTGATTTGTTTTGATATTGCATTTGCTGGTTTCTCTTGAATAATGTTTTTTGATTTACGCCTCAGCTATACGCCTCATTGCGCAATGAGGCTTACGCAATATGCAATTCTAAAAATCCGCCATGATTACGCAATACGCAATTACGAACATTGATTATTAGTAGAGTATTTAGTAGAGTTAGTATGAGCTTAATTAAGATTTAATTAATTAGTATGGGTTCATTCTTGCTTATCTTGGAATAAAGTTGGATTTCAGCCTTTTGGCTCTGGGCAACGGTTTTTATCGTTGCTTATCTGGGCAACGTTTTACCCCGTTGATTTTATTTTTCTGTTCTCAACACTGAAACCCCAGGCCTGTTGGGTGGTATTCTCTTCACCTCATTTATCATCATCCTCGTCATCCTTGTTGACTTCGTTGTCATTATTATTCTTATTTATTCTTATTTTAATAAAGGGTTAGACCTGACCATAAACGTTTAGATAAGATCAACTAAGTTAGAAAGATTCAAACAAGACTAAACCAAAAACATCCATATCAGAGCAGGTAAGAGATGTTAATTTTAGAAAAAAACTTTACAATATCAGCAAAAGTAAAAACATTTGGATGAGAACATAGCAAACCAAACCAGAAAGATATAGACCAAGTACATCTCAATGAGACCAGACTAGATGTTATATACGTAGTATTAAACAAAAAGCGTGGCAACATCAGAAATGTTTTAAAACATTTATATGAGACCATACCTAACCAAACCAAAGTATGATTCAAAAAAATCATCCTCTGTATAAGATAACATCTTTCCTGTCAAAGAGAGCACTTTGATACTTGGTTTTCATCTTTCAAGAAAACAGATGGTTTATTTATTTGTGATTCCTTTTGGTTGCTAATATGACCTTTTGCCATTACGAAACTGATATAACAGGTCACTCGTATATGTTTATGCTTGCAATTATAGCTTGAGCCTTGATGGACTTAAACTGATTGTCAATAAATTGCAGCACATAGAGTTGGTTTCCCCTACTTCCCCAGATGCTGAGGTTTCAACGTTTGATGTTGTGGGACCGGTTTGTGAGTCCGCGGATTTCTTGGGGAAGGATAGGGAACTTCCCACACCAACAAAGGTAGATCTCTTAAAGCACATTTTACTAAAGAGAATATTCCCTAAATAGGAGTCAAAAAGTTTTGAAATTCCAAAACAGGACTATCATGTTTTTATTCCCTAAATAGGAGTAATTTCTGCCATGTTAGGCATTATCAGGCTTTAGACATGGCTGCCAAGTTTTACCAAACTTGACAAAAATTACTCCTATTTAGGGAATAAAATCATGAAGGTCCTATTTTGGAATTTCAAACCATTTTTATTCCTATTCAGGGCAATTTCTATTTACTAAAAAGTGGAACAATGTTTTTGTCATCATAGTACTAAAGACTTATAGTAACATTCACCTTCAGGGTGCAGGCCTTGTAGTTCATGATGCAGGTGCGTACTGCATGAGTATGGCTTCCACTTACAATCTCAAGATGCGTCCTCCGGAATATTGGGTCAGTTACCTGCTTTTATCATGAATCTTAGGCAACATTAGTTTCTGTTGTTAGAGGTGCCGCTTGTGTGTTTTGAAGAAGCACACCAGTACACCACCTTAAAGTCTTTGGTAAAGTCTAAAAAACGTAATCTTATAAGAATTCATTAACATCCAAGAGCGGCCTTTAGAAGCATACGACCTTAGGGTGGTGGCATATATTTTTTTGGGGCGGGGTTGGGTGGGAGCCCAATTCAAGTTAGGCACATGACACTTTTCATGTGTAAAAGTAACTATTTTTTTTTATATTTATGAATTATTTTTGGCCCATTCAAACTCTTGTCTTTGGAGGTCCTGGGTATGCCATGCCCATGCCTTAGTGTTTGGTAAACGCTTAAAATAGCTATTACGTAGTATAAGATAATTAATTAATACTACCTCTGTCCCAAAAAACTTTGCCATCTTTAAAACTTTGACCAACTATATATTTTTATTGAAAATTATTTATAATATAAAAATCATATGAATATGTTCTCTGTTAAAAGTACTTTCATAAAAGTATAAAATTTTGAACTTCCATAATATTGTACTAATCAAAGTCATGGTCCAAACTTTACGAGATAACAAAGTCTTTTGTGACGGAGGTAGTAGTAAACAGTAGCTTCTAACAATAGATGTTGAAAAGCAACATATGAGGTAAAGTTCCCGAAATTGGAGTAAACAAGTTTTGGAATTCCAAAATAGGAGTGCTTTATTTTTCTTCCCAAAGTAGGAGTAACATGATAATATTTACTGCCATCTTTTTGCCAAATAGTTGTAGACTGTAGTATCAGGCATTAAACATGACCGTATTTACTATCATTAATGACAATATTTTTCAATCATGACAATATTATTGAGAGCACTGTTATTGTGTGCCTCAAAATAATATTCAATGCTAAACACTTATATGTAGTATAGTGAAGTAAGGATCACATCCACATCGAAAAAAATATCTTTCTTTTATGTAATTGTAACTTAAGCGTTTTTAAGATTGTTTTGAACTTAAGATTTAAACACTAGGATGAACGATTTATGCGTTTTAATTTAATAGATAGAGACCTGGGTTTGCTTATTTCTACTTAGTGAAATGTTCGTCGATCCCAGTTATATCTTTAACTATCTTTCTCTCGAATACTTAGTCGTGGAGTATTTCTAATTCATCGAGGGTAGTTATAATAACGAGACGCGTTCATTAATAAAATTTACTAACCAATATAGAATACGCATCTTATATTTACCCGATAGTAGCATTAAAACTTTAGATGAAATCAACTGAGATTGAGAATCTCAACAAAAGCGATTTATCAGTTTAATCAATATAATTAATCCTCCTTAGGCAGTCGGAAGGTATTGAAATCACATCCAGCCTGACCAGGTTGGGTCACAACTTGACCGGGTTGCGCATCAAATCGGACATTTTCCACGTTCTCTTGATCTTCTCCACGTTCCATTGTCCATGTCAACTCAACCCGACCGGGTTATGTTCCAATCCGATCGAGTTTCATACCCGAATTTATTTTCATGTTTCATCTTGCCTTCCTTTGGTACCTATAATACTCCTCTGCATCTTGTATGATACTTACAACAAAATACGCACCAGAAATACAAATTACAACCTACAAAATAAATATAAAGAGCATCACAAACTAAACTAAACAAGTAAAAACAACAATCATACAATAATCAATGTTTCAATCATGGCAGTAATGAAGCTCATTTCAGAAAGAAAAACATAGCAGTCCTATTTTAAACTCCAAAACTTATTTACTCCTATTTTTAGAAAATTTCCCAACAGATTATTAACTCTTCACAGTACCACAGAAGTTAACGGTCTGTTTACTAACAGAGATATTTTCCAATTTTCCAGAAAACTAGAAAACTGGAAAACAGAAAACGTGTACCAAAGAAAATTGTTGGAAAACTAGAGAAAGGAAAACAAAAAAATGCATTTACTAAATCGTTTTCCAAAACGAAAAAATGAGATATGCCGCTCTTTTCCTTAATGAATTGGAGAAGTGACTTGTTAGTTTTCCAAATTTGGAAAACGCGGATGCCACTGCAATGAATTTGCATACTTACGCTTAGTGGTGGATCTGGTCTCACTCATTGTCGGTTCCATTCCGATGTCGGTTCCATTCCAGTCAACGACCCTACGGTCCCTATTTGGTCCAGTCAATTACCCGGCGGTTCGGTTCAGTCATTGACTTTACAGTCACTTTCCGGTTTGGTCGACAAACTAGCAATCCCGGTCCGATCCATACGAAGACCCGATGATCCCGGTCCGATCCGGTCGAAGACCCAACGATCTTGATCCGATCCGGTCGATGACCTGGCGGTCCCTGTTCGGTCCAGTCCACGACCTCGCGGTTCCTGTCCAGTCTGATCAACGACCTCGCGGCCCCTGTTCGGTCCGATCCTTGACCCGGTGGTTCTTGTTCGGTTCGATCAATGATCCAATGGTCCTTTTCCGGTCCAATCGATGACCCGACAGTCCCTGTCTGGCCCGATCCACGACCAGGCGGTACCCATCTTGTCGACGTGCAGGAAGTTCCGGTCCGATCTATTATAGTCAACGACTCGAAGGTCCCCGTCCGGTTAGGTCTACGACCCAGCGGTCCCTACCTGGTCTAGTCAACGACCCGACGGTCTGGTCCGGTCATTGACCCGACACTCTCTTTTCGGTCCGGTCGACGACCGAGCAATCCCGGTCCGGTCAACGACCCGGTGGTCCATGTCCAGTCCACGACTCGGCGATCCCCCGTCAAGTCCGATCCACGACCTCGCGGCCCCTTTCCGGTCCGGTTGATGACCCATCGATCCCTATTCATTCCGATCCACGACCAAGCAATCCCTGTCCGGGCCGGTCAATGACCCGGCGGTTCATTCTCGGTTTTTTGAAAATTCATTTTTAAAGTGAAGAGTTTTAAAAGAGCGTTAGAGTTGGCAATCAATACGGAAATGAGAAAAGAATTCGTCAAACTAATCGTTGAGATCGACCGGGACCGGCCGGTTTGGTCCCAACTTTCCTATACGTGGGATATGGTACCCTACTTGGGTTGTACTAGGTTTTATTTAAGAATAAGACCACACTTTCGGTTTTCTGGACGATCACAGAACCGGGTGAAAAAATTTGATGAACACTTTTTCAGATTTGAAAATAGAAAACTAAAAAATGAAAACAGAAAATTGGAGATAGAAAAACTGGAAAATGAGAACAGAAAATTGGATAACGGAAAACAGAAGTAGAAAATTGGAAAACTTCTCTGTTAGTAAACATGCCCTAATATTTTGTTCAGTGCTACAACAACATCAAACTAGGCCTTATAGGGACTTTGGTTCTTATATACTACCTCCGTCTCACTAAGATTGAGACAAGAAAATGTGACATGATTATTAAGAAAAGTGGGTTTGTATGGTTGATATTACATTGATAAAATAAGAATAAAGTAAATCTTAGTGGATTTCCCGAAGAGGTAAAATGAAACAATCTTAGCGGGACGGAGGGAGTACTTTATAACAACCACCTTGAATGCTATATGCAGTCCAGGAAGATACAAGAGCAGTCCTTTTTATGAAAAATTGCGGTATTAATTGAATATTTCATCTGACGTATTAGCAAATTGATATCTAATATTCATATATGTGTGAATTTGTGTTAGCAGATTATTTATTTCACGTTCTTCGTCAATATTTCAAATTGTTTTTTTTGCATATTTCCAAATCCGTGCTGTTAACTGTCAAATTATGATCCAAGGGAGCAATATTGTTGATGTTGTAGAGTATTGTTTTTGTTAGGTTGAGGAGGATGGATCTGTGTCCAAAATCCGGCATGGGGAGACATTTGAAGACCATATAAGATTCTTTGATGGGCTTTAACTGATTAAAAAATAATAATAGTATGGCTGGCGTTGATCGCCATTTTTAGTGGGCGAGGATCTGTAATGTTGCTGCAATTACTGCTAGTGGATCTCTATGGGGGGCCCTTCCCCGTTTTTTGAAACCGAGATGTGTTGTTTATGTTCTTCAAAGTTGTCCCGTTTTCGTATATTAAAATGATGAGAAATTGCCCTAAAAAGGAGTAAATGAGGTTTGGAATTCCATAATAGATTTTGGAATAGGAGTCGTTATTGCCATGATTGAAAAATACTGTCATTAATTATAATAAGTATTGTCATGTTAAATGCACAACACTTCAACTATTTGACAGTCATGTTTACATGATGACAGTAAATATAGTGGTGGACTCGGTTCGGCCCGAGCCCGGTTCGGGCCTTGAACCGACCGGGCCTCGGTTCACGGAAGGCAGGCCCGGAATCGGCCCGGATAACCCCGGGTCCGGTTCGGTTCGGGTCACCCGCCCGGTTCACGGGCCGGGCCGCCCGCCGGGCCGGGCCTTTTTAATTTTTTTTTATTATATATTATATTATTAGAATAATTCTTATTACAATTACAATATATTATATTCTAATTCAAGTATATTTATTTCAAATAAGAAGTACAATTGAGAATTAGGATGAATTTAAAAAATGTAATACATTTTGTAATATATTAGTTAACTACTTTAACTAATATTAATATGACAAATGAAACAATTAACTACTTTAACTAATATTAATATGACAATTGAAATAATTAAGTAATTTAATAGATAAATGAGAAGTCTAACAATTAACTACTTTTATAAAATGTATGAATGTGTATAAGTCTATATCAATGTCATTAAAAGTAGTTAATTGTTTCATTTGTCATATTAATATTAGTTAAATATATAAGAGGGCCGGGCCGGTTCAACAAATACCCAGCCCTAACCAAGAAAAATAAAAAAAATGGAAAAAAGAAGAAGCCGGGCCGGTTCAACAAATACTGGGCCCGAGCCCGGCCCGCCCACCCCTCCCCAACCAGGTAAAAGCTTGGACCCGGTTAGCACCAACTGGGCTGGTCCGGGCCCGCACAGTGGTGGGCCGAGCCGGGCCGAACCGGTTGGGTCCATCCCTAGTTTGGAGTGTGGGGAGAGGTGAGGGGGTAGGAAGTAATTAGAAAAAAAAGGGTGAACCGGATCGACTCTGGCTTGGAGCAACTCGGACTGGTTTTCGGGCCTAACTTTTCCAAAAAAGCCTAGTCCGAACCGAGGCCCGACACGGCCTGAACCGAGTCTATGCGTAGTTTCTTTACATTGCGTTACAAATTTAGAAACATGCGATTTTATGAGATACAACAATGGGTAGGGGTGGATTCGGTTCGGGCCACCCGGTCCGTGACACGGCCCGGCCCGCTACTGTGCGGGCTCGGGGGCCGGGACCGGCCCGGTCTGATGGTCCGGGACCGGGTGTAGACCCGAACCGGGGGGGGGGGGGGGATGATGATGATGCGATGACCGACGAATAACTAGAACAAGAATTGCACCGACATAATAGTTGGTTTTTCCAAGATCAACCGAGGATCATTGACGAAGAAGAGCTCGAGGACGACGATGTGGAGGAAGTAATTCCGGAGAGCCACGACGCCAACGAGGAGGAGTGTGGTGGCAGTCACGAAGCCGACGAGCATGCCTCATCCCAAACTGGTACGAAAAAAGTAAATCTGAACTAATGCTTAATAATTTTGATAAGTGGAAGGACCCGAACACCGGGAATTGGAACGCAACTTGCAAGTGGTGCAAGAAAAATTATAGCTTGGGGATTTCCGGCGGATATGGATCCGCCGCAAGGCATCTTAAGTCCAAACACACGGTGGAGTATGCAAAATTAGGCGGCGGAAAGGGGAAGCAAACTCAAATATCGAGGTTTGCTAATAACCAACAATCTTTTCGTAATTTCTCATACAATGATGCACAGAATTTGATTGGTATGGCTAACTTACTTGCTGAAGAAAATTTGACTTATTTGTTTTCTGAAAGTCATGCTGATGGAAAGTGTACCCGGGGGGTAGCTTATCCGAGGGGTTATTGCGGAGAATAACTAGAGAGAAGTCAGAGCAAATAAGTAAGAGAGAGAGTGTATATTCGATATGTATTAAGCGTGGTTTACAATGGGGGAAAGGGGTGCTATTTATAGTAGTAATAAATGCTAGATAAGGACACGTGTTGGTTTTCTGGTGGTCGAGGGGTCACCTCGACCGGGGTGGCACTGGCACTCGCATGTGGCCGCATTAAATGCGGTAGTTGGATGTGACGTTTGTACTTGGTACGGTGATCCAGGCGCATGTGAAGAGGATATTCTGTCGAGGTGGATGCCTTCGGCTGAAGGGTGCTGGGCCGAAGGCTCTTCTAACCGAGAGCTCCTACCTGCCAAGGGCTGCAGGTGCCGAAGGCTTGATTTTCAAGCCTTGTTCTCCTATGATGCCTCTTCTAACCGAGGGCTCCTACCTGCCGAGGGCTGTAGTTGCCGAAGGCTTGGTTTTCAAGCCTTGTTCTCCTGTGATGTTTCTGAGCTCGAGTCCGTCACTGGTAGCCTTCGGCCATGGGGCCGAAGGCACCCCTTTGCGTATTGTGGGCTGCTTAGAGCTCCATTTTGCTGGGCTTGGCCCGTTTGGGCCTGTTGGGCCTAATTGTAGTAGAGGAAGTATGTGGGCCGGGGGTCCCTGGGCCATATACTCCATCAGGAGTCCCCCACTCCTTTTGCCGAAAGGTACTTGAGGGAAAAGGAGTAGCTGTGGTGATTGCCCCGAAGGCTTCCCTGTTCTGTTGGGTGCATAATTTTCTCAATTCCCCCATATGTCGAGGGCTGAGAGCTTCCTGAAGGGAGTGTAAGTGTGTTGCTCGTATGTGTTTCTTTGTTGTAGTTTGTAAAGTAATGAGAGATCTGCATTTGTGTGCTTTGCCGAGGGCATTTGTTGACTGAAGGCTTTGTGTGGCTGAAGGCATCATGTGGCCGAAAGCATTGTGTGGCCGAAGGCATCATGTGGCCGAAGGCATTGTGTGGCCGGAGGCATTCTGTAAGCCGAAGGCATCATGTCGAGGGGAGTAGATTGCCGTTGTGATCTTGCCTCAGCTTGCTGTAGCTGAGAAATAGAAATTTTTTAACATATGCGTGTTTTGCCGAGGGGAGTCCCCCAGTCCCCCACTCCTTTTGCCGAGAGTTTCTCGAGGGAAACATGAGTAGAGTGATGCATGCCTTCAGCAGGAGCCGCCGAGGGGTGACACCTTTTGTTCCACAATGGGGAGATGCCTCGTTAAAAACCTCATTAGGAAAAAACCCTGTGGGAAAAATTCTAATGAGGGAAAAAGAGTACACCGGATGCCCTCAGAATGAAGCAAAAGGAGTGCACCCTTCGGCCTTGATTGTTGAGCGGCGGTTGTGTCCGTCTGTTGAGAGCATATCCAAGATCAGCCTTAGATCCTGCATGAAAAAGCTAAGGAGCTTGTAAGGACCCCCCCGTTATCAAATAAAGGTGACGGAGGGGTGCAAGGCGAGGTGGGCTTGTGTGAGAGCCCCTGGCATCAAATACAGATGCCGGAGGGATGGAGACCGAGGGGTCTTCGTGATGGCCCCCAACATCAAATAAAGATGTCGGAGGGATGAAGGCCGAGGGGCCTGTAAGATAGCTCCCGGCATCAAATAAAGATGCTAGAGGGCTGATGGCCGATGGCCTGTGTGATGGCCCACGGCATCAAATAAAGATGTCGGAGGGATGAAGGCCGATGGGCCTGTATGATAGCCCATGGCATCAAATAAAGATGCCGGAGGGATGAAGGCCAAGGGACCTGTGTGATTGCCCTTGACATCAAATAAAGATGCCGGAGGGATGAAGGCCAATGGGCCTGTATGATAGCCCCCGACATCAAATAAAGATGTCGGAGGGATGAAGGCCGAGAGGCCTGTGTGATGGCCCTCGACATCAAATAAAGATGCCAGAGGGATGAAGGCCGATGGGCCTGTATGATAGCCCCTGGAATCAAATAAAGATGCCGGAGGGATGAAGGCCGATGGACCTGTGTGATTGCCCCCGACATCAAATAAAGATGCCGGAGGGATGAAGGCCGATGGGCCTATATGATAGCCCCCGACATCAAATAAAGATGTCGGAGGGATGAAGCCGAGGGGCCTGTATGATAGCTCCCGGCATCAAATAAAGATGCCAGAGGGCTGAAGGCCGATGGCCTGTGTGATGGCCCCCGACATCAAATAAAGATGTCGGAGGGATGAAGGCCGATGGGCCTGTATGATAGCCCCCGACATCAAATAAAATGCCGGAGGGATGAAGGCCGAGGGTTGCTGTGATGTGGAATCACGCTGAGGCCGAGGGCCGTTGTGATGTTGAGGCCGAGGGCCATTCTGATGTTGAGGCCGAGGGTCGTTGTGATGTGGAATCACGCTGAAGCCGAGAGCCGTTGTTGATGTAGAATCACGTTGAGGCTGAGGGCCTTTGGTGATGTGAAATCATGTAAGGCAAAAACCGTTATGACATAGAGTCATGTTGAGGCCGAGGGCCATCTGATGTTGAGGCCGAGGGCCATTGTGATGTCCTCACGCTGAGGCCAAGGGCCGTTCTGATGTTGAGGTCGAGGGCCGTTGTTGATATTGAGGCCGAGGGCCGTTCTGATGTTGAGGCTGAGGGCCATTGTGATGTGGAATCACGCTGAGGCCGAGGTCCGTTGTTGATGTTGAATCACGTTGAGGCCGAGGGCCTTTGGTGATGTGAAATCATGTAAGGCAAAAACCGTTATGACATAGAGTCATGTTGAGGCCGAGGGCCGTCTGATGTTGAGGCCGAGGGCCATTGTGATGTCCTCACGCTGAGGCCGAGGGCCGTTGTTGATGTTGAGGCCGAGGGCCATTCTGATGCTGAGGTCGAGGGCCGTTGTTGATGTTGAGGCCGAGGGCCGTTCTGATGTTGAGCCCGAGGGCCGTTGTGATGTGGAATCACGCTGAGGCCGAGGGCCGTTGTTGATGTTGAATCACGTTGAGGCCGAGGGCCTTTGGTGATGTGAAATCATGTAAGGCAAAAACCGTTATGACATAGAGTCATGTTGAGGCCGAGGGCCGTCTGATGTTGAGGCCGAGGTCCATTGTGATGTGGAATCACGCTGAGGCCGAGGGCCGTTGTTGATTTTGAGACCGAGGGCCGTTCTGATGTTGAGGCCGAGGGCCGTTGGTGATGTGAGATCACGCTAAGGCCAAAACCGTTGTGGCGTAGAGTCACGCTAAGACCGAGGGCCATTCAAATGTTGAGGCCGAGGGCCGTTGGTGA